CGCCGTGAGAATACTGACATGCTGCATTGGTTATTCACCTTCTTCTATGCGACATGTGTATTTGTGCTGTTGTGGATTTAGTTCTGTGGTCCTCTGGACCCTGCCAGTGCCCTCTACAGCCATGACTGAGACTCAGAGCCTCATGGCAGCTCAAAACAACCGTAAACCGTCACCGGGCTTCCTGAAAGACTTGGATTGGAACAAGTTCGAAGCAGATGCCATACCCTTGGCACAGCTCTACAACCCACCGCAGCTGGTCAGCAGCTGTTCCGGATTTGGTGCTCGCCTCTCCATGTGCATCAACAGCCTCTTTACTCATCGGGCACCTATCTGCGCGAAGCCAGTGATTCCGTGCTGTTGTGCAAAGGCTGTGCAGTCCCGGATTGCAGATTTGGCAACAGTGAAGCTTTCCGATCCGGACGACTGGTTTGTGAAGATGCTCAGCGTTGAGCACCCCAACACTCCGGAGTTCTTGAAGGGGCTCTTTTGGATGGAGGACAACTATGCACCGGAAGTGCTGTTGACATTTCAAGATATGGACTGGGTCTCGGGAAAGCAAGGATACTTCATGCCGAAGTATAGTTGGACGAATGATCCGTCTTGTATTGGAACAGTCTGCTTGTGCAACAATTTCAACGGCTCTCCAGCTTCTGCATGGCCGTTTAGTGTTTCACCGAACGACAGGTGGATCAACATCGACCCACAATGGATCTACAGGCCTACAGAGGGCGAGAAGATCACGCGACCAGATGGTTCTGTCGTGGAGATGGCGGAAGGGGACATGATTCGAATGGGTTTTCGCAACAATAGTGATCCGACATCAGGAGTGACCTATCAGTACCTCGTACGCCGCGTCGCTTACATGCAGAATGGTAAACTCATCAAGACGAAGAACTATGATGAGCTCCGCCGGAGAGCAACAATGCCGGACACAATTGGTGGCTGCTGTGGTGGCTACTACAACTGTTCGGCCGTGGGGGCGAACTACATCTTCGACGCTTACGAGCCATTGTCAGATGAGCAGGTACTCCTGTTCCCCCCGCCCCTGGAAGTCATGTGGCCCGACAGTGTGATCCCGGATGCTGTACCTGCCAAACGCTGAGATGACGGCACTCTTGCAGCCCCTTTGTAATATCCATCTGAGCTGGGCAATGAGGGGAGAGCAGGTGACGAGTACATGTCTCGTCACGTTCAACGCCTTCATCAAATTCTGCCTGAGCAGATTCCCGTTTTTGAAGGAGTGATAGTTGTAATGCTGTTTTTTGGGATCTGAAACCTTAGACCCGAAGCTGCGGATGCTTCGTCGCAGCTTTGTCAAGTCGTGCTTCGCAACCTAATTACAGTACGGCTGTGCTTCTCGATATGAAGCAGTACTAAATCTCCGAGGCTAGACATTTTCAGTTGAGTTGTGAACGGCTTGACACGGCGCATCTGAGAGGGGGGACACTTTGCGCTGAGGATTAGATTACAGAGACAAGTTAGTCTTATGGACGGTAACTCTCTCAGGTCCGCCTTTTTGCGGCCAAAAGGCGTGAGGCTCAATGTAGGGGGCCTGTGGCTTCATCTGAGCATTTGAAGCTGTTGCAAGAGGGCAGCTGAGGTGTGAACGTGTATCGAAGCTGCTGACGATCGGACGGCAGAGAGAAAGATTGAGATAGTCATCTTCCACTTCATGATGATATATACAAGTAACATTGATTGGCTGACAAATTGACTCGACTTGATAAAAAAGATCATATTGTATTTCCATTAAATTCAGAAGATAATTTCTTTCGACTCGGAAGGTATTATGTTATATTTTATAGAAAATATGAAATAAAATACAAATGGTTCAAGAAAATTCTTTAGAAAATTAAATTTACTATCTATTATTGGCAGATATCACTTATATGATATCTATTTTTAGAATTATAATGATTTTTATTCTTCTTTTTCGGTTTAGGTAAAATAGGTTGGAAATATATTTTTCATTCTAAATTTATGATCTATAAGAATAAGGAAAAACCTGTCTTTTTCTCTATTATATACGTATATTAAGATAATTTTCTTATTAAAATAAAAGATAATGAATGAATTCTATTAGAAGAAAATGAATTTATTGGGAATACAAAAAATATAGATAGGTAGATATATATATATATATATTATATGAATGGAATGATTTAGAAATTGATAAATAAAAATTTCTATTGAATATAAATTTGCTTAATGAAAGTGATATTCTAATTATATACGAGATTTGGAAAGATTAAGAAGACGAGAAAAATGATTTATTTTAAAATATTTTCTTTTTCGATAAAGAAAATAGAAATTTTGGATTTGAAGAGATATTTGAAAAATAAATATTCATAATTTCTAATTTTATATATCTATAAATACAAAAAATATTATATGCTTTTAATAGATATTTAATTTTAATTTTTGGAAATATAATAAAAAAAATCTATTTAGAAATATGTGAATAATTATAGGATTTATTGATATTAAATCGTCTAAATGGAATTAATATGGGCTTGGGGTCGGGATTAAGGTTAAGTTAATACTCGCTTACGTTGGACCCTAAAGCTATTAATATCTTATTTGTTGTTAATCTTTGAATTGACATAATTTGGGAGCAATTTTCTTCTAATCTTAAATCGAAAATTGGGAGTTATTATGGAGCTAGGGTATATTGGTTGGGCGATATTGGGTAAGCCGTACGTTATTTTTAGGCAATTCGTGCTTATTATCTCTATCTTGATATTTTTGTATTCGCGATATAATTGATTATTGAATTTATCTTTTTAATCGAATATCTCGAAATATTTTTTCCGATATTCGAATATCTTAATTTGAATTTCTTTTGACCTAATAATATACAAATAGTTATACGATTTCGTATTTGGATTGCTCATCTGATTGAATTAATAAGAAATAATCAATAAGAATTCATCTATATTTTCTCAAAATTCACTAATTTTTTTGAATTCCATACAAGATGAATTTCGATTAAAAATACTAGTAATTATATCTTTATTGGTGAAAAATATTTTTGGAATTTTAAATGATAGAATACTATAATTTTTTTTGTATTTATATAAAAGTCGCATTTCGGAATATTAATATATATGTCTTCTTAATAAATCTATAAGATAATCTATATTATATTCTCTTAAATAATATATATTTAAATATAATTAGAAATATTGAATATTAATTAATTAAGTAAAAAGAAAATTATTAATGAAATATTTATTATCTCGAACGAATTCGGAAATTAAATTCAAATATCTATATTTTCAATTTCTATTCTTAAGCATGAATTAATTATTCATTTTTTAAAATAGATTTTTTCAAATATATCTATTTTCTTATTAATATGTATAAACGGCAATAACTCACAAAATATTTCACTTCTTAGGGAGAATCTCTTCCAACGCTTTATTTCTAGATGAGCTAGCGACAAGCCCACAAGTAGATCCAAGGTAAGACTACCGAAGATAATAAAATAAACACGACAGCTAATAAAACCCCAACCAACGACAATTCCACCATTTCATTGCTTCACAGGATCCTTATATCCAACAAAATAGATAGAGAATTAATTATAATGTAGCCATATTCATCAACACTCCATACACGACTTAATACAACTCAGGAATATTTTATCAATTAATTTTTATAAAAAGAAATCATTCATTGGTAATATTATTTTCAATGTCGAATTTCTAATTTATTATATAATATTTTCTATTTTATTTCCCTATTAATAATTCTCTTCTAAAAATCATCCAAAATATACCTCCTCATTCTGTTACGATATTCGTCTCAAATTCGCACAAATCTTCTCTATATACAATCCGCGAACGGCATGCCGCGACATACCCCACGACCCATATCTTCACCCCCCCATTCCACGACATTTCTCCTCATTATACCGATTCCACGATATTCCATTCGTACCCTAACCAAGCCATTCCATAACATATCTCATTCCCTTCAGATTCCCGCATCATACGCACGCACCCACCCCCATTCCACGACACTCCCTTTCCTTCGCATTCCTTTACCACTCCACGGTATTCCGCACGAACATATACCCTAGCATTGATGGGAGAAGACTTATATATCGTAGAGATTCGTTAAGAGTCTCGTAAAGTAGCGAGCGAACATCGAAAACATAATCGTAGCAGAACAGAAGAAAAACAATATTAGAACAAATATTAAATAGAATACCGTGGAGCAATATTATCAGAGGCCAGATATTCCCTAGGAACTCCCGCCCCCCCGTACGCATCACGCCCACCATTCCACGATATTCCCCTCAAACTCATACGACACTCCCCACGACAAACATGCCCTCGCCCCACTCTGCGATATTCTGTCCGAACCATTCTCGCCTGCCGGGCAACACCCAAAATGCCCACGCCCCCGCCCACCACTCCAAGTTCTTCCCACGACACTCATACCCTCGCCCACTAACCCACGACATATACGACCATTTCTACGTTCCAGTTATTATTACGATATCTGTTGAATCCACGCAACTATACCACAAATATGCTGAGTCCTCAAAATACTTTACCATACTAGAATATGTTCTAGATGGCATGCGTAACAACCGTCTTCTAAATATCCAATTCGGATTATTATACTATTATTTCTCATATGTCAAGTCTATTAACTGTCATTTTATTTCGGAAATTTGAAACATCTTCTCAATTAGATCATTCTCCTATTTCTACTAAACATTTTTTAATTTCTACATATATACATATATGATATATAAGCATATAGAACTTAAATTAGAATAAATAAATACGACGACCTTTAGATCAATGTTCGTGCAGTTGCCTTGAAAAGGGTCCTCGAGAAGAAATGTTTGTCCAGTTAATGATTGTTGATTGTGTCGATATTGAATATTCGTAGTTGTTGCCAGGAGTCACTAGTACTACGTGTGTAGTACAAATTTCTCATTCATGCCAATAGAATCCGAGCATGATTGCTTGAATTTTCCAATGCTAAGATACTGCGTACAGCGCATCACCAGCCTCAACAGCAGTTTCCAAGTTCAAGCGGAATACGCGATGCAAGCAACAAGCTCCAGACCCGAAAATCCATGTTCTGTTGCAAGTATTGGCGGAACCTTGGCGGAAGCAAGACAGCCTCTCCACAATGCAACACAGCAAGGTGGCCGGGATGTCAAAACCCGCATTGACAGGACTCTCAAGGCCAGGCACTGTGCAGCGCGGCAGAATGAAATCTTTTGATGGACTGGGGCCCTTTGCTGATCGAGATTTGCATACCTCATTGCCTGCAGCACGGAAGTCACTGCTTGCTTATTCTTGTGGTGGAGGCGACATGAAGATTGATGGCTGAATCACTGCGACACCTCCTTCTTCAAGACGTGCATGAAACTGCGAATTGCGTTCCGTGCCGTCCTTGCTGGATGGCAACAGCTGAACATGGCATGAAGCTATCGCGGTTGGACCCTGCCTCTGTATAGAGGTGATTTCTTGCTTCTCCTCAGACATGAACGGCAAGTCGGACAAGTAGGCCAAGCAGCAAGATGCATGTTGCACATGAGATGCTCCAAGAACACTTGGTCTCCGACAATGTCCTCGAAGAGCGCAGGCATGTGCTTGTGCCATGCTTCGCGGCCTGAGTCGGTCCAGAAAACGGATCCTACGAAACAACTGCAGACTTGATTCAGACAGGCACCCTTTTCGTCCGCGAGGACGCTCTGCAGATCACGGGCAGTTATCCGCCCGTCCTCTCAAAAGCCAAAGCCAAGCTTGCGTGTGGCCCGCAAGTGCTAGGACGGATCAATGCCTGGTCAACATCAAAAGTAGCGAAGGCTGCATCGATGGCACGGTTATTCCGACAAACCTGCGGGTTCTACGACTGCGAAGTGACCAAAGCTAAAGCAACAGTAAGCTTCGGGCAACATACCACATCGCAGCTGCAGTGAACTCAGTCCTGCCCGCAAGATACCGGATGCACTGAAGCTAATTTAGCAGCTTTGCTGATTGAGGCTCTATCAGACCTCGTGCTACCAACCCGACATTGGACACGGGCTTGCATGTAGCCATCCTCTGTTCCTATCTGTCAGCAGCGGTCCAGGTAATCTGTCCATCTCGTCGGTGATCGAGGGCATGGCAAACCCGCTCGGCAGCCACACCTCCCATTCCACTCCTGGCACGGTTGTGCTTGAAATCACCGAAAGCTACGTTGCTATGCTGGCCCTCGCGCGATTACCTTTCAAACCCGCAACCCTGAGAGCGAGGCTTGACCAGCACGGCTTTCAGATCCTGGGCACTGAGACTGCCTCAGGGACACAGGTCATCTCAGTCATCTCTGGCCGTTGGACCCACGCACGGGCCACGGCCACCGGCCACTCCATTCTTGAAAGGCTGAGGGCTGAGGGCCCCTCCCTGGTTCCGCACGTCAAAGTGTGTGAAAAGTGACCGGAGCTCCACGAGGGCCTGTCAGCGCTTCTGTGAAGCTCCCGAACGTGTTGATAGCCTCTGTAAGGCATTCAGGGCCCGGCTGTCTTTTGCACTTCGTATTGATGCGCCAAAAGCAAGAAGATTCCCTTGCAGTCACTGGCAATCAACATTTCAGTCAATGCAATCTAGTCTATGAGAAATTTGCGGAAACGGCCTTGCGAAGCTCCGGCATCCTCGCATAGGACTCAACCTGAAACCCCGACATTGCTGCCTGTCCCTGCCCTGCCAGCACTACGAGCAGCTACTGGCTCGGGATCATTGCAGTGCATTCGCGACGTTGCTAAGAGACCGACGCATTGAAGCACGCCGACAGAAAGGGTTGGCGGAACCTGCTCCATGCCGCGTGCCGCGAGCAGCACGTGCTTCATGTCAGCAGCGCAGAAGCAGAGTCACGAAGGACCTCGCTGTAAGCGGAGAACCAGGGATGCTCCAAGCACTGGGCGGCATCTGGACCTTTGCATTATGTCGACCTGCCAATCCTCCATCAGCATCTTCGCCGGTAGGTCCGGGGCGGGATGCGTCATCCTTGTCCAGCATGCGCATTAGAAGGTCATTGCCTCGGGTGTGCTGTGCAACGTGTTTCTTGCGGCCATGCCCAAAACATCCAGCAAAACTAGGCTTGTGCAGACATCTTGCAGATGCATGTTATCTCGAGAGTTTCTTCGCTCTTATTCCAGTCATGTGATGTGCAGCAGGTCCTCAATTCGACGACCTTGCACACCAACAAATTAAAGAACATGTGCCGATGCCAGCAGTCAAGGATCTGATCCTTGAAGGCTTCACACAGCATTGCATGACTTGCAAGCTCGACACTCCGTCAGATTCTACGTTCATCCTTGCCTGGGTGTTGTCACTTGGAGGCAGCTTCGATCACCTATGGAAGATTGGGTCCCAAGCCGGGGCTGTAACGCCGATTTAAGTGACAGCACGCAAGCAAGACCGAATCAACTGGGATGAACTGTACATGTCTTCTTGGCCGATGCATATTTGCCCAGCTTTGTGGCACAGGGAGCGTTGCCGGCGTGAAGCGAATTCGACTCACCAGACGCGAAGAGAGCACAAAAAGCCCGTGCAGCTCGGCTTCGCCACGAGCTTCTGCTCCCAATGCGGCTGCCCCGATTCCTGATACTCCCACTTGAAGCCCTGGCCGGCAGGCCTTAGTGAACAGTGACGGTCCCTCATGGAAAGCCGAAAGCACCCGACCCGTATCCGACATCCCCGCTTTGGCCCCTGCTGACTGGGCAGCCGATGCGGATTGGTCAAGTCCGACAGGCTCAGCTTCGCTTGGTGCCAGTGCCTTTCCCCGTTTTCCTTGTACCACTTCCACATGTAGCCAACACCCGCTGGGACTTCCGGAGGATGAGCTCTGGTCGCCTCAGAAAGGCAAAGCAGCAGGGTTCATCTCCGTAATTTGACAAAACTCCACCTACGCCTTGTTTTACCCAAGTCTCGTTCATCCACCCTGCTATTCTGAGCTGCTTCCAGCGCCCAGTCTGCTCATCGAAATGCCACATGAAACCATTTCCAGCAACAGGGGTTGGAGGATTGAACTGATCAAGAGTGCGCCAATCGGGTATAGCAACTTGTGTCCAAAGACCTGGAGCATCCTGGTGCGAGACGAACCTCCACATTTCACCGTTGCCAGCATACTCCCTCGGTGGGTGATTTGCACTATCGGCATACCAGTCTCTGATCTCTTCTTGTGTCCACTCCTTCTGCCCACCCTTGTCCACATACTGCCACATAAAACCTTGCCCGGCTGGTTCTGATGGAGGATGCGCCGCGCTGTCTACATCCCAGTCAGGGATGATGTCCTGACGCCACACGCCCCGACCATTCAGCGTGACTCCTGAGTACAGCAGACACAGACACACCATTGGAAAAGACTCACAGCACGAACTGGCAAGCCCCAGGAAATCGGCCAGGGAACGATTCCACATCAGCCCGGCGCCAGCTGGCAAGTGGGGCGCATCACGAGCGGTCCAGCCAGGGATGAAACGCTGCTGCCAGGCTCCGTTTTGAAAGATCCACATCAAACCGTTTCCAGGAGGCTCACGGGGAGGAGCATCTGGTCTGTCACCCGTCGAATCACGATGGACCTGTGTCCATGCCGATATCTCGTGCTCTTTCGCGCACGTCCACATGAAACCTCTGCCTCAGTCAACGCTTTCCCTGCAATGGATAGCAAAACTGACGTGAAGCAAAAGGTTAAGATATGGTTGTCCCGTCCCATCCCGCCTGCTGAAACGAAGCCGGCATTGGGTGGCTTATCCTCGCAGCTAGCCCGAAACCCACGAGGAACAGGCACCTTCCAAGCATGCAAACAGAATTTCTGCAGACGACAGGAGCACACTTCCACATCATCCGTGCATGTACGAGACTCAGCTGCGCTTCAAGCGCTGTTCGAAAGGTTTCGAAGGCCTAAAAGCCACAAGAGAGCACCGAGCCATCAGCATTGCCGCATCCGTCAGAGATCGGTGAGGCGCCAAAGTTTTTCAGCGGATTTGACCCACAACCACTGAATATCTGTAAGATTCAGAAAGCATCGGAAGATAACTCTCAGATTGCCCGCCAGCCATGCATACTGTGGGTCTTCCGTCGATGAGACCCAACACGGGTCGAAATGCATGCGCACGGACTAGCCATCCGAGGCTCACTCGATGTTTGATGAGACAGGATTCAAACCGTTCAACCGACATGCAATTACCAGATAGTCTTAAGACGAATGGATCTTCTTTGACTCATGCAGCCGGAGAAGGCATTCTCTCCTTCTGGCGGCGCCTGCTGCCAGGAACCGATGGGACCCTGCAGCAAGCAAGAGCTCAAATTTAAAGGAACCTCCAGCAGATTCTGCAACTTCCATCTGGGCCTCTCTCCACAAGAAGCCCAAGCCAGCTCGCAGGCCAGGAGGCTCATTCATGCGGTGCTGCCATCCTCGCATGCCACAACTTGCTCTGCAACGTGCATTACCCCGCGATCTCAGGCCCCTCCTGGAATGCAAATCTGCGTCCAACCGTGATCTCCGGGTTCGAAGCTCCACATGAAGCCTGCTCTTGCACATCAGCTCAAACGCCTTCTAGGCGACAGCTTCAGCTTACGAGCGACTGTCGGCGATGCGACCCTTACACTCGGAGGCTTGTAAGGATTGTTTCTGACGTGCTGGGGTCCGGCACACATGCGCGTGGGCCTTGGGGCATTGCGTATGCTGTTTCCACTGTTGCCAGCCAGCCTGGCCCGGCGGGCACGGAGGGCTGCGGGTTGAAGGTGTCGGGCTGCCAGTTTGGCACTGGCTGCTGCTGCCAAGCCTTGAAAGTGCATCTTCGCGACTCTAGAAGGTCTCTCACAAAGCAGTCAAGCCGCATTTCCATGGTCGCTGGCAGCATAGACCCATCGCAGTCCCAAACCAGCGCGGCGCTCGCAGGGACGCTGCCGGTGGCTCAAACTCTCTGGGGCCAGAACCTGGAAGGGTGAAGGGAAGGCTGGGCCCAGGCTGAGAAGCATCCAGGACCGGGCCTGCTGCCAGCCATCCGTGGAGCGATGGAACATGTAGCCCACACCCGCCTTGGTTTGTTGGATACCAAAAAAAGGCCTAGTCATATAGTGAGGCTGCGGTGTCACGAAGCATCCCCGTCTGCATCCGGGTGTCCGCATGTTGAGGGACAGATATGCCTTGCAGAAGCTTGACTCTGAGGGGAACTTGTGCCCAAATCTTGCCTGGCACGGACGCTGCATGCGAGAGTGTCATGCGAGCCACAAGCAAAGCTTCGTGAGGTTGAGTCAGAAAGGCATGGCGGGTACGATCCACAAGTTCGCCCAAAGCTTAGGGATGCTTTCCGAAGGCGAAACGAGCAACATGTCCGCTCATGTCAGTTGTTGTTGTTCCTGGAAGAGGCAGGGGGCAGAATCCTGTGTAAGGAGACAAACCGCTCCTCCACGAGGTTCGGGAGTCTGCAACCACATGAAGCCATCGCCGGCCGGGGTGGTGGGCGGTGACACTTGCCGCGCATGCGGAATGCATACCTCAGAAGCCACAGAGGCCACGGCTCAAGGCTCAAGGCACAGGTTCCCACCATGTCCCACCTGTTTCCAGCCATCGGCCGACCGATGCCACATGAAGCCAGCTCCGGCAGCGATGTCTGGAGCCTTGCCAGAGAGAGGCACCTTCCGCTGCCTCGGCCGATGTATCGGCAGAATTCGGCAGACATGCATACATGGTATCGGCGATCTGGTGCAGACACGCAGCCGCCACAGGCCATCCTGTCGTATCCACATGAAACCCACTTTTGGAGGCTTCTCGCACACGTCGGCCGTCGCCGCCATCGCCGTGACTGCGCTGGCTTCCGTGCTTGTCGTCGTCGTCACTTTCCCCACCTCTTCCCCGAGCCGCTGGGATCGTTCTTTGGGTTCGACCTTTGCTGCCTTGGCCGCCTGCGGCTTTCTGTAGTGGCAGCTCAGGTCTTCTATGCGGCACCCTTTGCACGCTGGACATCGTTGTAGGACTTCTTCACGGGCACGGCTGCAATTTCTAACCTGCAAACTGAATTTTCAAGGAGGCAGTCCGCCTTGTTCAAAGGCCACTGTCCAAGCTTGATTTACGGACATAAGGGCCTCTGAATAGAGGTCGGCCGCGCGTTCTTCGCACGATGCAGTCCTCAGGCTTGCAGGAAGCATGCGCACAGACTGATGCAATTCTGGCATCAGAAAACAAGCTCTACACGTTCAGAGGCACTTCCTATTTGCGACCTTGGTTCTGCCCGTTGGTCTCACAAGATCTGTCGCATGTGTCGCAACCAAGAAGTTCCTTGTCGCAACAAAACCTCTTCCTCGGCAGACGTCTTCGGGGCAATCGCTTGCTTGGTTGGTTCGAAATAGAACTAGGCTCAGGTCCTAAGTCCACATTGATGCTGCGAGGGGCTACAATGCAGCTTCCATCTGGAAGCTTGTGCAACAAATCCGCGCATGATGCTCAATCTTGACAGATGAAGCAACCAGGACAGGACTAAACCGAACTGGGGATTCACCACCAAACAATCCAACACCCGTCACCAGGATCTAGTCTTGCCTCATTGTTCGTGCGAGAGCTTTGGAGGGAAAGCACGGCTGACAACTCCGCAAGTACACTTGAAGAGAGCAGGGACACCGGCTCATAAGTACCCCGGTCCCTCACGTGGAACCGGATTCAATACTAAAGCTGAAGCGATATCAAAGAGTCTTTGCCACTGACCAAGACGTCCTCCACTGGTGAAGCTGCAGTTGGCAATCGAATTCATCACAGCCGATGTCGACGAAGCTGCAGCAGAAGTGCTTCTTTGGCACGGACCAAGAGATATCCCATTGGTCTTGATCTGCTCTGCCTTGGTCGGTAATGAAGCAGCTCACCACTCGGCAGAAGTCGTGACGATCTGCTGCGTGTGTTGCTTCCTTGGAATTCGGCTGGGCCCGGTGCAATCGAATTCTGGAGGTGATGTGGTTGCCCAGCAGCCGATCCCCCTTTCCGAGCAGCACCAGTCGCGCTCTTCAATCAGCCACTGCGACGCAGTGCCACGACAACTGTATGTCACGGTGGCATCGCGAAAGGGGCTCCTCCGAAATCTCTGATCATCTCTCTTCACCCCTTGATGTCGTGTAGAGACTGCAAATTCGATGACTCATGACAGGCTGCCGCTGCCGTCACTAAACCTATCCAAAGTCTTTCAAAACCATGAATCCTCCGGATCAGCAAAGCTCCGATCAGGTAGCCCAGCACAATTGCTATCAGGGCAACCAAGGCCAGGATCCTCCAGCATGAGCCCCTCAGCAGGTGATGCTATGAGAATTCGCGCGGGGATTGCCGAGACAAGGTAGGGGTGCAGCCGTGGCACCCCCGTGTTCTCACCTCCTCTTTCTCGTAGTTGCCTTGCCCATCTCCGACGAACAACATTTGGTCGCTCCTGGCATTGCTGCAGCATCCTTGGGCTCTGTACTTCAGAAAACTTCGTATCTTGGTTGTCACTAGCGGTCGTGTCCTCTTGTAGTGACCCCTGCCGTTGCCGACAAAAGTCCACTTCTCGTGCTTGGTCTCTGACATGCCTTCGACCAAACAACAGGCCGAAAGAAGAGGCTTCCTGGTGCACGGGTTTCACTCCTGGCAATGCTGCTGAGTCACCACAATCTGCATCTGTGCATTCATCCGCATCTACAGCCTCCTCGTCACCACTCACTCCTTGAGTTCTTCAGCTGCAGCACATGCTCTCTGCAATCAGTGGTAGGAAGCAACAAACCGTAGAGCATTAAACACAACACTGCGCAGCGACACCGCAGCGACACCAAGGCCCTGCGTCAGCAACCGAGCGTCTGGTGTAGGCTTGGTCCTTTTCTGAGGATCTTGACACGGTGCGGGCAGGAGCGGCAGCCACAAACATGGCAGCAAGTTTTGCAGCACTGCGGTCGGACCTGTTCCATGGTTTTGCGGCTTTAGCTCTTTGGTTGGCCTTTATCTCATGACCACTGCTTTCTTCCAGCCTGATTTCTGCGATTTTCTTGTGGCAGAGGAGGAGTTTGCCTGCATTGCGAGCCCTAGCTACCTTCATGCCGGCCACAGTGGCAACTCCAAGAGCACTCCCTTGTTCATGCGTGTTGCCAACAAAGTGCTTGTCGTGCCAGAGAACAGCTCTGAGGTTCATGCAGCACGCAGACCATTTGCTCAGCAGCGGGTGTCTGTCAAGTCCATATCACATCAGACCAATCCACACCGACGAGTTTTCAACACTCCGCTCACGGCAGCTAGCCATGAAATTCGGAAAGAGTTTCACCGGGACCCTTTGCGACCTGACTGGGGCTTCATGTTTGATCTTCTGGATAGTCTGCTCTTCCCACCTTTGACGAAAACTCTTGTGAAGCAAACTCAGCGAATTCGTGTTAAGCTGCAGCTTGCGCTGGGTGCGTGGCCAGGCTTCGTCCTTGCCCTTTGGCGGAGGCCTGGACAAGATGCTGGGCCGGGTCATCCGACTTTCAGGGGCTTCCAGACTCTAGCTGTAGCTTGCCACAGCTGTCGCCGCTTCATTCGCCAAAGCGAAGATCAGGGCCCGACCACTGAGCCAGGAAAGGGAAGTCACCAGTTAGCAAGTTGTACAGAATGACGCCCGCCTGAGAATCATGAGCAATCTCTGACAAAATGTAACTAGCTGAGCACGACTGCCAGGATTCGCGCGCTCCATATATCTGTCTTCACCGTCATTTGTTGGCGGAAGACCTGCGATGGGCAGTCACAGCAGCGTCAGTGTTCGGGTCACCCATGATCACCTCACATCGCAAATCAGAAAGCTAGCAAGTGCCAGGCCTCTGGTGCCATGTACAGCCTCGTGCCGCCGATGAAGTTGGCGAACCTGACTTCGTCACTGATCAACGGACGCCATTCGAGCCCCCATCCTCCGTCGAGCCCCGAACTTCTGCATGGGGTTGAACAGTTCAGCTAAACCGAAGTCAATGACCTTGATGGAAGAGCTGTCCTGCCCAGTATGGTGCGCGAAGTAGGTAGTTAAGTTCATTTCCGATGCTGCCCATACTTGATCTTACACGCTTGGCTCATCACGAACCGGTCAGAAAGTGTTGCAGCCCCCACCTGGTCGACCAGCATGATGTTCTGCGGCTTCAAATCCTGGCAGGGCTCTGATGAACAGGTCTCCACGTGCTAGTATGAGCAGCGGCTGCCGACATCCTTGTGCAAAAAAGGCTTCTTGTGCATGAAGGCCAAAGCCTAAGAGGAGTCAGTAAAACGGAACACACGGAAGATCTCTGTGTCTCTCTCTCTCTCTCTCTTCGGGGCAAAGAGGACAGCGGTCCAGCTGCCCCCTCTGTGCACGAGCGCGCACCCGTGGTCCACGGGCTTTGTTTGTACCCGCTATGGGATTCGCCCATAGAGGCTCAGCTGTACATGAACGAGGACGAAGGTGTAGGAACAAGTTTGCGGGGTCCCCCCATGCCATGAACACCTGTCAGACGTGCGCACAAGCAACACTCTACGGTTCAGACCAAGAGAATCTGAAGTGTTCACAAGCCCCTCATGTTAGACATCGCTTCCCCCGAGCGAAAGCATGAGGTGACAAAACAGATCGTAATTGCTCATTTCACCTAAAGACGCAAACGAAAACCGACATGCTTCAGCTTGGGGAAGTGATCAGAAGAGGGAACGAGGCAAAAACATGCATCCCCCCGCCGAACATGGCGAGCACTGCAGGCTACCTTTGTTGGAACGGTTCGAATTGGGCGTTGGTTTACTTCACGAATTCCCCCTACGAAGGAACGACATGTACAGGTGTGTTAAAAAAAACTAGGATTAAAGGGCCAGGTTGGGCCGAGGAGTGAAGTTTACCCGAGAAAGCATGTTGCATGCTTGTTTAAGGAGTTCACACCACATGACTCACATGCACCCACGGATTGTCCGATCGTGTTGAAAAGTCCCCCTACGCCCCCTCAGAAGTCAGAGCGAACACGGAAACTTTTTGCGGCACCGGTCGGCTGGTTTGGCAAAGAGCTTCGTCCCCGCCAGACGCAGGAGGAAAATCCCCCATTGTCACTGATTCCCCCGCTGTTGTCGGGCACGCTCCATATGGTCTTGTACTGCTCTGATCTCTTGCCACATGCGGCCGGGAATGAGCCGAATTCCCCAGCCTTCACCTTGAGAGCTGCTTCGTTGCTGTTGCGGTTCCCCCCGCGGGCTCGTTGGGACGCTGCCCCAGCACTCCTTCACTTCGTCCATGATCGGAGGGACGTCCTTTCTCCCCCCATGGCCAACTGCCCTGTTGCATCTGCTTCAGTCTGGCTTTCCCCTCCCCATTTGGTGGGGTGTCGTCGGCCATGGGTTGCTCCTTTGTCTCACGGGACGGACTGATCCCCCTGCTCGCTGTTCTCGCATGCCTTGCCCTGCTGGTGTTTTCTTCTTCTGCTGGTACTTGTTGAGGGCCAGGATCTTCACTCGCAGTTCGTCTCGAGCTGTTGCCCCCCTGTGGAGCTGTTTGGTGTGTTGTAGCTTGTGGTCCCCCTTCTCGTCGGAGTTTGTTCCGAATCTTCCTTGCTTTGGGCAGCAACGTTTTGGCTTGTGCAGGAAAACGCGCGATATATGCGCGAGTCTCATCCGCCTGTAGAGGGAGGTATTTGTCGACTATATGGAACAATTTGTCCACTAAGCGTGCAGCTTCGTTGCGGGCCGTGTGGCGTCGGCCATAAGCTCTGTACTGGCTCGCCTCCTGTTTGGTGAGGGTTCCCCTCGACTCCATGCCGGTGAAGGTCCCCCCTGCCTCCTTCTGGATTTTCTTGCCAATCCACTTATCGAGTGGACTAGGTTCATAGAGTAGGACCAGCCCCTTGCGTGTTCTAAACCCAGTCAGCTCTGCAAGCGGCCTGGTCGACATGCTCCCCCGGCGTGTCGCGGTTGTTCCAGCGGGAGTGCTCCCCCGTCTTGGCGGGCTTGGTGTTTGCTCTCTCTGCTCCCCCTCTCGTGGTGGAGTTCTTGTTCGGGCTCTCGGCGAAGTTGTAGCTGCTGAAGTCACCCCATGTACCTGCAGAATCTGCATGTCCCCACCCTGGTGATCTTCACTATGTCGCGGCCGTTCCCCAAGTCACGAACCTTGAGGTGATGGACTCCCCCTCCCAGCGAACCAGTAGGTCTGGAACACCGTTCTGAAGAAGGCAAGGGCCTGCAGGACGTTGACGACTATGTCCCCCCCTGCCGGTGCGTCCAAGGAGTATCTTCTTGCAGTAATCAGGTCACGTTCAAGGGCGTAGGTATCACAAACTTCACTGTCACGAATATGGCTCACGTGAAAAGCCTCCCCTCCGGTTGGGCCACTGGAGCGGAACAGTGGCGGCGATTGGACTCAAGCCTACCCCCGCCCCGGGCTCGTCCACTTAATGGGAAAGCTGGGGACAGCCAGCTATCCCAAAGGGCCGGCCTCAGGCGCCCCCAGAGGGAGCGGTAGGTCGACTTGAGCCAAAGATCTCTCTCTCTCTCTCTGTTACGTTTTGGTCACAGCCTTGGCTTGCGTGGTTGCAAACGGTGTTCACCAGACGCCGCACCCCGCCAAATTTGCAGCCACGTGAACCCGCAGAGTCTGCTTCATCACATCACATACGAAAGCCTCATCGTAGGGCGCCTGCCGCTATGGCAAGAAGTACAAAACCTTGTGAACAACTCTGCGGAGGAGCCTTGCCAGTCTTTCGAAACGCAGCAACCTGCATCAGCGTGCTCGCAACTGTTGACGGCGAAGTATCTGCAGGCTGCACGGTGCCATCCATCCTTGTCTTGCAGCTCGCCGCCGTAGCAAGGTTCCATAATCTGACTGACCTTCCACAGCCGTGCTTGGGCGGAAGCCAATCCCGCCCTTCAAAGCCACAGAGCTCGGAGCAAAGTTGGGTTCGTCGAAGTACTCAAAAACTTTGATGACCTGAGCAGCGGTTTGATCAGAGCGCGTAGCAGAGCAAAGATTCAATTCGAGCCCCGTGCGTTTGGATGATCCAACATCGCCATGTTACCAATCTCTTGCAGGATCTGTTGACTTGTCATATCAGACCTCAGCGCAGCATCAAACATAGTTGAGCCTGCCAAGCCATTGAGGCAACGGAAACTCGGAGGCGCCCCACTTGGTCTTCCAGATCTTCTTGCAAACTCGACGTTCACCGGACAACTGCGGTCAGTGCTCGGCGGGCACTACGCACAGTCACCACAACCACAAAGGCAATTCAACAAAAAAGCTTGGCTTGGATGGTGCCGCTTGGCTTTGTCGGGGTCCGTTGGACCTAGCTTGTGGTGGCACGGTGCCATACAGATGTCGTGGTGCCCAGCTCTCCACCGTTGCGGGCTCAACAGATATCTCAACTCTCTCTTCGACAAACACGAGAGACGGGGGCAAAGTGTAACCGGCTCCCAGACTCCTTGTGGTCCACTTCGTAGACGGTGCCGAAGCTTCCCTCACCTCGAACACTCCCACAGGCGCCCATCGAGGCTGGGGCTGGCTTTTGTAAGTTGTTTGCTGCACTACCCAGTACTCAAACTAACTGCTGCTGCTGCTGCTACTACTACTACCACCACCAGTCTTGCTAGGTCTCAGCGCGAAGAAACGACGACGATAGTCTAACAGAGTCTAACCAAGCAGTGGATTTTCGGAAGTCTGAGGCGAAGCTTTGATGTTTCAGAGCCAGGGTGCAGTGTTTGGGAAGCATAGCAAAAACAGAAGGGTGCGACCCTGCTGCCGGTATCAGCTCTTCCGGAAAGCCAAAGGCTCCGACCGAGCTTCTTGCCAATTGCATAGACCTGACAGTGAGGAAATATCGAAAAACGTGTTGAGCAGCAGCGCTTGCCGCCTCTTCCAAAGGGCGCTTGTTTTGCTTGACGAAGCTTGCAGTGGAGACCTCAACTCTCTGCGCACACATGCCCGAAATTGACACCTCCCAGAGCAGAGTTCAGTGGAGGACGGGCAGGATCTCCGGAAACCACGAGCGATAGCGATCCTGAACAGGAGTCCAGGCACTGCTTCCGAGCTCACGGAGTGCTTCCCCAATGCCTCGAGGACAGTGCGGCTCAATGCCAAAATCCCATCTGTATCGATCGTCCGGTCCTGAGGGTCTCGGGAATTTCCCATGGCCGTGCATCTGGACTTTCAAGCAAAGATGTCATTCGGTCGTTCGTCCTCGGGCTGTCCATGTTGCTGGCACAGGTGCTCCAAGAAATGATCCTTCACCTTAACCACTCGAGCAGAGCAGGCAGCTTATGAACCCACTGACAGCTCTAGACAACAGAGGGTGCTGCCCCCAAGCGAACACCAAAGGGCTCAAGGAGTTCCTGGCACTGGCACCGAGCGCTCGCAGCCGCTGCAGCTTCCGCGGTCCTCCAGTGGCGCACGTAGCTGCTGCCAGCTCAGCCTCACTCGACAGTTTTCCGCACAGCCAAAACTCGCGCCAATGATGCCTCTCGAAAGGCACGCTGACGCGCTGAAAAGCTGTTCTGACCTCAACCGATGAATGCAGTATCCGACAAGCTCAGCATTTTTGCAATGCACAGCACAGGTGTGCTCGCTAAGCCCCGACCGTCTGCTCAAGCACCATCTTATCATGCAGTATCGCCTGTCGGATGCGATGCGAGGCAGACGCTAGAATCAAATCTGAGAGCCCGCAATACTTGTTTTGCATCAAGCAGTCCTCCAGCTCATCGCGGAGGCTCCGGAGCACATCGAAACCTGGAAACTGACTGCAATGACTGCAAGCAAGCGCAAGGTTCAACAAGACCGACCCTGTCCGAATAAGACCCTTCTGGCCTTGGGCTTTTTGACTTGTGACCGCGCCACCACAGCTACGATCTACAAGTGGGGAACTATGCGCGGAGATAAAACCCAATGAAGCCGAAGAAGCCTTCAACCTACCTTCCGTCACATCTAAGACGCGACGAGCACACTAAGCTTCCGTTTCTCCTAGACTTAGAGTTTCACGCGCACTCCCTCTCGGGGTGCTTTCTTCTGAAAAGCTCACTTTATCAAGTCAGTGACTGTTGGGTGTGTGCCCAGCACGGGGCCGTGAGTTCCGCCTTGTGTTGTGGCCTGGTGCTATAGACCGCGTGGCCGAGGCTGAGGAGTGGAGTACAAAGGCTGATTTTTTGTAACGCAGCTTCAAGCTGCAAACGAGTTGCGTCATTGCTTCTCGGACTTCAAGTCTGGAAAACTCCTGCTGAGGATTCGGCACTGGACAGCCCTTGTGACATTTGCACCGCCACAATTCCTTGGCAACATGATACTACACTGTGCAGTGGTCCATGGCGACCCACCACTTGAGACACCATCATGTTCACACGCCTTGCTCGGCTCCAACAGAAGAGTACACGACAAGTATACATGCTCCACTCGGGTTCGCACTCGTCGTGCTCGTTGGCCCCAGGCTTCTGCGCACAGCGCTTACAGCAGGTGTCGTAGGGCTTCAAGCCTTGGACCATGTGACAAATAAAACGAACTGCAGTCCGTCCCACCCCTTCTGCGCAGCTCTCGTCGCATGATCAACATCGCTTCACAACTCGAGGCAACTCGCCAGCGTTCACAGTCAGCATGTAAGCCATGTATCCGTCCACCATGCACAGAGTGAAGGTTGCACGTTTCACTGAAGGCACATGTGCACAACGACAAAGACCCTCGTCAAGACAAATATGACACGCTCATAATCATAAGTATGCGTTTGCAAGCCGATGCCAAGTGTTAAGCACTTCTATTTCGGAATCATCGTGAAGCGCATGTCAGAGAAGTGCGAGGGTGCGGGACTTAGTTGCAGCAAGAGGATCTCTGGCTTCTCCGCGCTGTGCACGGACAGCACATCAAGCAAATATGGGTCCCATGATGTCCCATGACTTGAACACTCCCATGTGCCCATATCCAAGGCCAGAACCTCTTGTGAGACCAGGTTGGACGAGCCTGAGAGGCAACAATGTACAAGGATTTCATTACCGCACTCTGCACCAGTTGCCAGCAACTGCTCGTCATGCACTTCGCAAGCCAGTCTTGAAGCTTACGAATCACCTGTCCTCTCCCCGATCATACCCCCCAACCTCCCATGGCCCCTTGACTCCCAAGGCAGGCCGACCGTCCGGCCGGCCTGCTACTTGACGCCTTGACCTTGGCCTTGAGCACGCTTATTGCAAACTGCATCGCTCTGTTAGGATTGCAAGGGCGTGGAACCAGGCTAACATGTAATCCGAAGGCTCCTCGGGACGAGTCCTGTTGATCTCGACTGAACACACCCCACACCGGTGGCAAAAGCATAGGAGTCGAAGACTGCAAGAAAAAGGCCCGACGAGCACAATCACCCGCTGCCTGCCACATCCGTTCTTGCCTGGCAGTCTTCCAAAGAATCAGGTCGCAACTGCTTCGGCCCTCTGACCTACAGCCACTATGACGTTGGGGTGCGGACAAAGCTTTCGAGTTGAGGAGCTCGGCGCACCTCACTTGGTGGTCGGAATGCACCTTTGAGGGCCAACTGACTGCCCAGCCTCCTGCGGCTCCCAGCTTGCTCATTGTGGCGAGGCCCTCCGAGCAATCGTTCTTTCAAGTACCAGTCCGCACAAGTGCTTTGAGATTTCGCATGTTCGCTCAAAGGCCTCCTGTACTGACAGCATGAACCAATGAAGGCCAGGCACCAGGACATCAAAATCATGTAGACAAGTGTCAAAATGGCAAGATATGGAAAGGGAAACAGGAGCCAAGCAGCGGCTCATGCTCTGGCCACTGCCATTTTGACAGCATCCAAAACTTCGAGCCCAGCAGAAATTCCTTCAGTCCTGCTAGACTCGACGCAGCTAAGGCGGCTGTTGGAAAGGCGAAGCTTCGGATGCTGCCTAGTGCCATAGAGATGTGTTGCTTGCAGGCTATGTGACGAACACGCCCAACTTACACTCTCACCGTGTTTGCTAGGCTACGCGAACTCATTCTTCTCAAGACAGGCGAGGGAATGTAACACATCATCTACGTTACTGCTGGTTGCAGACTTGGGCAGCCCCGGAAGCTCGTCGCCAACAAAGCGACACCAAGGCCAAGAAAACCTCACGTGTTGCTCAACAGCTCCAACAACCTCGCTCCGCCTCCGCACTCGCTTTGCGAAGCACCGATGAGATGGAGTCGGCCATGACCTTGGCACCCAACAGCGCAAATACTTGTACCTCGGTCCTAGGTTCTTCGGACTGCAGGATAGCTCTGATTCGAAATGACTTATGCCAGCAGCCATACGTGTAGCCTCAGCCTAATTACGACCGTCCGCAATGAAACTGACCCTCGCCATGCAAACTTGAATGCCAGATTCAACTTTGTGGATTTCGCTTCGGGCGTAACCCTGAGGACTCTGTTGATGATTAGCGGTGCGCGATGACCAATCGGGTACCCTTTCAACGTCTATCGACAGTCCTTTCCACTTTGCCCAGGCCACACGGAGGCAAAGCGACTTGAAACGTTGAAGCCTGAGGCTTCTGCCCACTTCACGCCCGCTGATGAAATAACCTTCACCTGGCGGAGCATTCAGAACGAGGGGCGCATGTTCAGTCCAGAATTGAAATCTGTCTTCCTTTCCGTCCAGGCTGTGCACCATCCTGTCGCAGTGTACGCTATCCAATGGATCTCGTGATGCTGCCGCTACCCACTTCCACAGAAGAGGAGGTCAGACAGGAAGATGCTGACGTAGGAACCAGAAATCACCCGTAAATAGCCCTAAACCCTAAACTTCCGAAGTGCTGACACCATAAAAATGTGTAAGCTAAAACACTACACCCTAAACTGAAGACTTGGCTTCAAATCCCACAAACCTAATTAGCACCGTAAACCCCGAAAGCTGCAACCCCTCAAACCCTAAAGTTCCAAGCCTAAAGTCAAGCGCTCCCTAAACCCGAAACACCTGAAACCTGAAACCCTAAAACCTTGAAACATCTTGGACCGTAAAGATTAGCCTCACCTTTCTGTCGCTACAAACTCCTCAATGCACCACCTTAAACCCCCAAACCCGCAACCCTGCAATCAAAACACCGAGTGCTTAAGCCGAGGGCGCGTGCTTGAACCGCGGGCACTTGAATTGGATTGGTGCTCGAATCGCGGGTGCTTTGCTCGCCGGCCGAGCTTACCCGCCCACTCGGCAATGACATTGCAATTGGAGTTTCCAGGCCCACCCCTAATCGCTCTGAAGACAAGCAGGAAAGTGCAAAAACATGCTGCAAGTGGACAAGCTGTGCTTTTCTGGCTGGCTGATACTTTCTCGACTGCATTGCAAAAACACTGACCAGCGCATGCAGCTGGGGCCCACCCCCACGGCAGACTCGCAAATTCGGGTTTTATCTCTGCCCCCTCGAAGCTCTTTTGCAGAGGTCTGGGGTCCTCTCAAGACTGTCACCAAGTGCAGCTATAAGGCTCGCCGGCTGCACAGAGCCGGGAGGCACGTCGAACCCTTCCGTTGTCGTGGCCGCTAGGTAGACCCCCTGCACCTCAGTGGCTTGCACGCTTCATGCAAGGTGTATTCAAGCTTCGCCCTTTTGATTCGCGCAGTGCGTCTGGCGCGATGTGAATGCAAGCTGAGTGCTCTGTGTCCCGAACGACGGCCGGGAGCCAATTCTCGCGGCTGTTGCTCCAAACCTGGCAAGTCAGCGGATGCACAAGGATCTCGATCACATGGGCAAGCATGCTCGAGGAAATCTGTGGACCGCGTTCGCTCCGGGTAGTGGAGAGTATACAAACCTTATGCCCTTTCTGCATGAGAATCATCCCCGCAGATTCCAGCAGCTGGTGAGACCACACTCTGCACGACCATCGTTCTTCGTGTCTTGATCTTCAGGCGATCTCTCTGGCCACTATCATGGGCACGTTCTCTTCCGAGCAGGCAAGTGAGGATACACGGTTTCGTACCCTCTGCGGTTGGATCTTGCCTCGTGTAACTCATCTTAACACGAGGAACATGGACTGCAAGCAGCAGGCAGCAGCAGGACAGGAAGGACGGATGCAAGTCGGTAGAAGTGCCTCAACATTCTCGCCCACTGTAAAGTCAACTGCGGTTAGCTGCACAGAGGCCGCAGCCTTAGAGACGGCTTTGGACAGAATTGCCTTGCTTGGGCTGAGCTGAGACAGGCACCCGAACCGGGTAGCCCATTGTCAAAGGCAAGATGGGACTGTGTCAGGGGGTCTGTGTGCAGTATGGCAAGCCGTCCAGGCGGGTGTGGTCTTGAGTCTTGGGTCTTCAGGGCTCGGGAGGTCAGTATCAGCGCTCGCGAAGTCATATTTCCAGCCGCTCCGACTTTTTGAGCAGCAACGCTGCGTGCCACGTCGGTCGAGACAACACAGTGCGTTCAAAGCACGCAGTTCACACATACGAACCTTTCCGAATCCTCGAGTGGCGCCTGAGCTGGGGACGCCAACATCCTGGTAAAGGGCTTGGATCACTCGGCACCTTTTGACTCCGCCTGTACTCACGCGAATCCCATGGCGCCGGCAACAGCCCTCATTCCTTGACTCCTCAGAACAAAGCGAACTGCGATGAAAGAACCGTCTGCGTATCTCCGAGGACAAAGCTCCACCCACTGCTGCGCCCGCTTCTTGGCATCAGTCGAGCATTTCCAGTACCTGCTGCGGAAATCCGCCAGACTATGCTGCAGGTCGGTGCTCGTTTGCTCAGCAAAAGGGGCACCCGGCCAGGTTCGTACCTGCAAAAATGAAGATCATGATGTTCAGGAGAACCCAATCCTTGATGTCTTGCGAATTGTTGAACGATTGACCATCAACATGGGTGAGACTGAAAAAAAAGCCGAGGGGTGTGCTAGACTGAAGTTCAGAATGTTCATGAACAGAAATATCGCCCACAGCCTTCAGGCTTACAGACCGGTGCCGCTCAGACTTGCAAAAGACGACTGAGTTCCAGACAGGGGCCAAATGTACGTGACACCCCAGAAGATGTTGCGGTCCTGGGCAGAGGGCTGGAATGAACCGCGCAAATGCTGTGAACGGAAGTCGAAAGAAGTTGCTTTTGATGCTTAAAGAGCCTCCTGCTCTGCGTGTCACAGGACATCCCCTCAACCATTGCGGTGCTCGAGCCCCAGGCTGTGGCATTCAAGTTGCCCTCGTCTGGGTTCGACTCAAACACCTTCACGTCCGGGAGATTCCGTGAGCACATTCACAAACCTGACATGTGCGTGGGACCCACTCCGACGAGCCATCGTCCTTGACCAAATTCCACCATCGCAGTCCTGGTTTGCACAAGCTGAATCTGCAAAAACTTGTCGAATAGCGGACCACCTACAAGTAGACGGCCAGAGATGTTTTTCACCTGCAAGTTCTGAACTGGCCACAAACTTCGATGCGAGCACTTCTGATACTGAGGTTTCTGCCGTCCAGAAGTCCAGGGCGGCAAAAATGGTGCACAAAATGAAGGTGGAGACCTTGCTTGCACACAAGCCTCTGACTGGATCCCCCTCTGACATCTGCAGTAGCTGAGGGTGTCGCGTAAGCACTGTGGATGTATCGACCATAGATGTAGATCAGAATTACCACCTTCACAAGCATCGCAATTGGTCAGGAGAGCGGTGGGCTACGAGGTTCCACGTGATGACACAGAAGATTTCCTGCACATTCAGCCGCCGGCAATCTTGAAGGCTGCGTGAAAGACACAGGTGACGGGGTGTGCAGCTGTCCTCCGAAGCAGCCGAATCAAGCAATGGAAGAGTCTGCCACCATTCCCTGCCCTGAGACCAGTACTGCAGCATCTGCACCAAGCGGTTCTGAGACGCTGGATCCTTATGGGGCCGCTGCACCACAAGGGCTTCCAGTCACCAATTGTAAGAAAACTAAGGCAAAGCACATTGCCCCCATGGCCTTCTGTCCCAGCCATGCGTGGCCTGTCTGGCCTCTCTTCCGAATGCGCCGCATAGGCTCACTGCATGCAGGACAATCCAAGACGCTCGCATCTCAGTTGACATTGAAACTGCATTGAAGCCCCCAGGCTCTGCTGTTGGCATTGCTGTCACCTGTCCTTTGGACATGCCTTTAACATCGGTCACAACATGCTCATCAGAGCGCTAGCCTAGCACCGTCGAGCTCGGGCCTTTCAGCAGCTCGGCGAGCACAGGGCAATTGGCGGGCGTGAAGCAGTATCTGACCCTATACCTGGGTTCGTGAGGCTCAACTCAATGACGTACCTCGCTAAAGCCGGACCAGACTGTCGCCCACTTCATTTTCAACATCAAGTTGCAAGGAAAGCTATCAAATCGACTCATACCTGGTTACCTGGTGCTTCCCTTCATCTAGGATGTGCTCACATGGCGGGCTGTGCCATATCTTTGAGACAGCTATGCATCTTGTCTGCCGAATCTCTGACAAGTCTTGACGGCATGGATTCTGCGCGCGGAAGGAGAATCAAGCAACAAGCAGGCAGCTTGCAGGAAAGCATCCGCAAGTGCGGCGTGCAGGGTGAAATATGGTGCTGAGGCCACACGCCTTTTTCCCATGTCAGAGCACTCATGCGTGTGTGTTCCATGCCACTTCTGCGCAGCATCTCACAAACTTCGCAGCATCTTTGTTCATCCTTCACTACCTCCGGAAATGCACGGGAAGACGGATCGCTCGTCTCCACTGTTGATTGCAGCCGCTTCTGCCGCTGAACCGAATACACCTCTGGCATCCCCGAACGCAGGTCCCCAGCCTGATTCTGTCTATCCGAGACCCGAAAGCTGAACTGGCGGGTGCACGAAGCAACTTCCATGATCCTACCGCCGCTGCCACGACTGCGTCAGACTTTATGACAGGGAACTTCTGCTGCAACAGGTTCTGTAACTCCCCAGCCCACGCCGCAAGACCTCAACCGTTTTATCGATAGGGTATACCCTACACTTCCCAATAATCGTTATAAAAGTCTTCTATTCCTGACATCCCCACCTCGCCCGATCCCACCAGAATAGCTTCCCTAAAATTCCTTGTTGAAACCTTTCGCCTGACTGTAGTAATTGATGTTCGAGAACCTTGGTAGGTTGCCTGTTTCAATCCCTTGTGACTGCCTAGCAATGCCGACGCATTCGATGAACTACCCCACAGAGTGACCCAGATAAGATGCGTGAGGCGATCTCTTGATTGGAGCTCAAACAGGCAGAACTTCGTTTGTGTCTTTCTTCCTTGCGTTGTGCCCTGGCTGAGCTGGAGAATGCAAAAAAACGGTGGCAAAGATGAAGCGGTCGCTGCTATGTGTATGGCTTCTTCTTACATGCTACATCGTCTGGTGACTCTGCCTCTTCTTCTGCGACGGCAATGCCTGAGAAGCATGAGATGGTGCATCAGTAAGTTTCACCTACGAACATGATGTGATGAACTGTCTTCTGAAACGACCGTGCGAATGTGTGTCGCGAGCATCACTTCTGTTTTCTGTATGAGGTTGGCTACATGAGCGACATGTGTGTTCCGCAGCTCCTTTTGTGCTTTGCTTCAAGCAAAACAGTGATTATTTGGCTCATCAGCCTTCTGTCTGCCTTCAGTTGCTGAGCTAAAGTGATAGGTGTTTGTGTCGCGTTTGTTACATTCATACATTCATAAAACCGTGAGATTTGAGGCTATGTCGTTTACCTTGGTGGTGAAGAGTATGAAGGTCGACACCGTCCTTGAGGTGGATGAGAAAAAGCCACTCGGTGAGGTCGGTAAGCTTGTACAGAACTTCACCGTGACTTCGCATCTCAATTCCATACTTTGCTCCGAAAGTGAAGGTGAAGAAACAGAAACAGTGTCGCCTGTCGTGGGTGGCGTGGACTTTGTCGTTGAGCAAGATGGCGGCAGCAAGCGTGCCAAAAACGCAAAGAGCTCGACCCAGCAAAAGGCATCGGGAACTGAGTTCAAGATGGACTTCGCTACTGCAAAGAGGACATCCGCCTTGGCAAAACTCAGGTTGGACACTCTGCGGTCAAGTGCTCTACCACGGTCGCAGAGACGGATGAGAACTCCGAGATGTGCTTTTTTCATCTCTTTCCTCACATCCCCTTTGAGCGCATCCCCAAGTTCGTTGCGGAGGTTGCTTCCCATAACAACTTGCCGTATCGCATCAAACAGGTTGAGGATCTTCTGTGTTTGCTGCTGATCGATGTGGAGTTGGACGAGGTGATCAACTTGATTGACACGACGCGCCGTGTAGTGAATCGTTCCTTGGAAAGTATTTTGGTGATGTTCTATGGCAATGACATGGGCAATGTGGAACCCCCCCCCCCCCC